GCATCTGTCTTTGCATGTGTCTGTCTGTGTTCGTGTTCCTCTACATGTCTGTTTTTTTTTTTTTTTTGAGACAGGGCTTCTCTGTGTAGTCCTGCCTGTCCTGGAACTTACTCTGTAGACCAGGCTGGCCTCGAACTCACAGAGATCCATCTGCGGAGTGCTGGGGTTAAAGGCACGTACCACCACCGCCCAGCAACTGTTTTATTTTTTCAAGACAGAGTCTCTCCGTATAGGCCAGGCTGCCATCCTCCTGACTCAGCCCTGTGTGTGTCTGGCTATTGTGTGACTGAGCTAACAACTCCTTGATCCATGACAGAGCAGCTTAGGTAACACCACAGTCAGGCCCGGTGGGTGAGAGCTCTCTGTCCATGTATCCAGAGGAGTATGGAAGGAGTACACTATCAGCCACATTAACGACTTACTACTAACTGGGGACTCAGATGTACCCTGAAATAGAGAGCCATGGTCAATCTCATTTTGTGCATATAGGGAAGCTCAGAGAGGGTAAGATATTCGCCTAAGATCACAGAACAAGTGAACTCAAGAAGGAACTCTCCAGTGTAAATGTGTTTTTTTTTTTTTTTTTTTTTTTTTTTGGTTTTTCAAGACAGGTTTGTCTGTAGCTTTGGAGTCTGTCCTGGAATAGCTCTCTAGACCAGGCTGGTCTCGAACTCACAGAGGTCCTCCTGCCTCTGCCTCCCGAGTGCTGGGATTACAGGTGTGCGCCACCACCGCCCGGCTCGCAAATGTGTTTTTATTCACACAAAAGATCTTTGCTAATGGACCAAAGACCAACCACTCAACAATCATTTGTTTTTTGAGTTTTCAAACATCTTTTGGTTTTGAGAAACAATGAAAAACAAGCAAACAAGCAACTCAAACCAACCCAGATTCTGGGTTAGGGATGCAGCTCAGTTGTAAAGCATTTGCCTAGTGTCCTTCTGGATTCCACCACCTGCTCTGAGGAAACAGAAAAGACAAAGTCACTGCTGGAACCATCCATGGTCACACATGCCTGTGTGAGGTCTGCTGGTGTTCCCTGCCCACCGACAGGAGGTTTGAGGACCACAGGGCTAGGCAGCCCCGGGTGGGGTAGCTCATCCCTGGTGAGTCCCTGCAGAAGGAGTTCAGGATGGGTTGTATCAAGGCGCTCCTTCTGGAAGAAGGCAGGGATGGGCCAAGCCTCAGGCCAGAATCAAGTGGTGGCTGAAGTTCCCGGGAGAGTGACTCAGCTTCAGTACTGGAGCGTGGCCTGAGGGGAAGTCACTCCAGTATCTCCTTCTGCACCTGAAGAAGAACATTTGGAGGTGTTCCTAGACTCATTTATCTTTCAAAGCCACAGGCCTCCATATGTTGCTAGGGGGCCATCTGAGGGAGGTTGGTGTGGTACTGATCACAGGCCCCTGCCTGCGCTTGGTGCGCATCCAAGGTTCTTGAGCAGAGAAGGACCTGGTTTTTTTTTTTTTTTTGGTTTTTCGAGACAGGGTTTCTCTGTGTAGTTTTGCGCCTTTCCTGGAACTCACTTTGTAGACCAGACTGGCCTTGAACTCACAGAGATCCGCCTGGCTCTGCCTCCCGAGTGCTGGGATTAAAGGCGTGCGCCACCACCGCCCGGCTTGATGTTGAGGACCTGGTTTTTTTCCTCTGGTATTCCAGGGAAGGTTAGCAAGAAGGAAATAAGAAATAAGGCCGTGTGTGTGTGTGTGTGTGTGTGTGTGTGTGTGTGTGTGTGTGTGTGAGAGAGAGAGAGAGAGAGAGAGAGACAGAGACAGAGACAGAGACAGAGACAGTCACAGAGAGACAGAGAGAGAGAGATGCACAGAAATCCTGACAGGGTTAGCAGGGCTAGAACTGGGACAGGGAAGTCTGGGAAGGGGCAGGAAGCCACCCTTCCTGTCTGTAAGGCTAGAGAAGCAAGGAGTGGACTGTTTTTCCTGTGGGGGGAGATGGGGCAGATGTTCCTACATGGGGGTGTCTTTACATTTATAACCCTGCCAACCTGAGAAGGCTTCCTGGAGGCAGTGACGCCACCCTCAGGGAGAGTCGGACCAGGAAGACAGAAAAAGAGATGAAGGCAAATCCGTCCAATGTTCAAAGCATCCTCCTCCAGAGGGGTCTCCTGCATCCCGAGCGCGGCTTACTGGGTCCCCTGAGAGTCCCCAGGACCCCTCCTGGGTGTGTGTCTTCCATCAAGATGTGGACAAAGTTGATTAGCGTGGGCGACAGCCAGGAGTGGCGTTTCTAATTAACACGCAGGCGGGAGAAGGCTCTCTCTTCTTTCCCGACTCCTCTGTATTCAGCTGATTGAATATCAGGGCCGAGGCTAAACTACCAGTCAAAAATGAAGCCCGAGCTTTCCTCTCGTTAAAGAGACAGCGTCCCATTTCCAGGGCTCTGCTCCTTCGACAGCCCGGACTGATGCCTTGGGAAAGCCCTGAAGCCAGGCTGGACGCGGCGGCGACTTTGGGTTCCAGGCAGGGGTCAGAGAGGCTGGGAGTGCAGGAAGGCTGGGATGGAGGGAGATAGAGGGAGACCCCAGATGGGCCTGGGGGGCGTCCCAGATAGGGGAGAGAAGGGAAGAAAGATGGGCTGTGAAGAGGAAAAGGCGAGAGGCGGCTTGCTGTGGCAGGGGGGAGAAGGGTAGGCAAACATGGGTTCATTAATCTGTAGTTCGTCTGTCTTTCCTGTGAGGTGGACGGACTTGATGGATTAATTAAGTCGCAGTCTGTAAAACCAGTTTATTTGCATAGCAAACTCCTGGGCCAGTGTGTGGTGAGGTGAGTGTGCGCAGCGCAGACAATTCGGGGGAAATTACAGCCTCATTAATATGCTAATCTGGTTGCAGGCCTGGAACGGAGTTTTGGGTTGGTGGTGCTCCGGGGTGGTGGGTGTTTGGTTGCCTAGCAACCCTTTTCTCCAGGTAACCCTTCTCTGGCTTGCCCTTGATATCCCCAAAGGAGCCGCTGTGGAAGAGGAGGTAGCTGGGAGCGCGCGGCTGTCACAGAACAGTGGGCAAAATAAAAGGCAGGCGAACACATCCACACGCGAGGCCCCATTGTGCGGGTGTCTTTGCAAACAGGCTGGGAGCGGGGGGCGGCGGCGGGGGGGTGGAGTGGGGTGGGGGGGAGGCTGCGTGGGTGCAGGGGACAGACGCCAACAGGCAGAAGCAGTATGGGGTGGGTGTCTGCGGAGACAGACGGGGTGGGAACACCCTCCATCCACACGCGCACACATGTGTGCACATATGTGCGTTTTGTTTAACAAACAAATCCACATAATGAGACACTCTGTGTAGGTGGTACACCGCCCCCCCCCCAGGCACCCAGACCCCCGTCCTCACCAGTGTCACCGTAGACACACAGGCACGGGATGGTGTGATGTTCAGATTATATAAACGACAGATAAACAGCTCTGAATGTGTGCAGGGCCCGCACAGAACTGTGCTGACAGGTCCTGGTGAACGGGCATGGTAGGCGTGTGCGTTGGTGGATATACAGAAACATACACCTATGATGCGCAACGTCAGCCCAGGGAGACCTTGGGCGTGGTCGATAGCATGGACACAGCATCTCACACCAGCACCAGCTATCTCCAGGGTGACAAGCAGGACATGTGGAATATATACGTTTAGTCCCAAGATGTAAAAGGCAGAGGCAGGCAGATCTCTGAGAGTTTGAGGCTAGCCCAGGCTAACCAGGGCTACACAGTGACACCCCATCAGAAAACAAAAATAAAAACAAAAACTCCCCAGGCAGGTGAGCACACAGAGCACAGGCTGCTGGAGCTCCACACCCTCGTCTCTCGTCACCTGAACTAAACGTGCTTGTGGTATTGAGAAAATACCCTGATGGGCTTTCTGCATCCCAACACTCTTGACTGCCCAGTCTCATTTTTCTCCACCAATCTGGGCAGCATCAGCTCTTCTAGGCGTTTCTGGTAGGTAGCTTCAAAGCTAGCGGAGCATCCTCAGAGAGCACTTCAAGGCAATGACGCCTCATCCCACCACAAAAGGCACCTGGCCCAGATGAACTTACAGATGAATTCTGCAAAAGATAAAGAGAGGCAAGAGATTATTACATTATACCAACTATTCTATAAGAAAAGAGCGAAGCTAGCTGAGCAGTGGTGGTGCACACCTTGAATCCCAACACTCAGGAGGCAGGTGGATCTCTGTGATTTCAAGGCCAGCCTGGTCTACAGAGTGAGTTCTGGGACAGCCAGAGCTACATAGTGAAACTGTCTTGAAACCACGCCCCCCACCCCCAGGAAAAAAAATAAAAGAAAAGAATAGAGAGAAGTCTAGACAAGAGAACATGAGAAGAGACTCATTAGCCATCTGAGAAATGCATATGCAAATGGTAACGATATGCTATGGTATATCTATGTATAAAAAAAAAACAGAGTCAGGGCCAAGAAGGACGGGTGCAGGTGTAGACTGTGGGGCAGCCAGTCTGAGGAGCTGGAAGCTGGCACTTTGTGACGCTAAACCCAGCTGTGAAGTTCAGAGTGTTCAGGGAGGCTTGCTGAGTTCTGGGGTGTACCGGCTGAACTATCACAGGCATCCACAGAGAATGGATAGGCTTGTTCCCAGCAGTGAGGCTCTTGTGGGCAAGCAGGCAACTGACAGTCCACCATCAGGTGACCAGGAGAAGGAACCAAGACAGGTAGCTGTGCACTCAATCTCAGTGCTGGAGAAACACCCCATTACAGCTGCTCAGAGGACATAGGCTATGATGAAAACATCATAGATGATGAAGAGCCAAGGTAAGATGAGTGAAGGGATGTCTTTCGTCTAGTTAAGAAGCAACATTGTCACTTATTAGCTGTCTAGCGGATGAATGCATCTGACTCCCTGGGGCTCTCTGCCCACCATGGAGTATTGCTATGCAACGAACAGGAGCGTGTGGATTTGGCAACAGCCTGCAGGAGCATCAGGAGCACCCCAGGAACTCAGGGAAAGGAGCTAGACACAAGGGAGCAACAGGTGTCACTTTATTTTATTGTCATTTTTTTCATTTGAAAATTTTTATGTGTATGGGTATTTTTCCTGCATATATGTCTGTGCACCATATGTATGCCTGGTGTACAGAGATGTCAAAAGAGGTGGTTGGATCCCCTGGAACTGGAGTTACAGACAGCTGTGAGCTGTCATGTGGGTGCTGAGAACTTCCTCTGGAAGAGCAGCCAGGGCTCTTAACCACTGAGCCATCGCTCCAATCCTAAGAGCATCATCTTGTTGACACCTGCAATAAAGTTTATTTAAAACAATATTTCATTGTAAATAACTAAATAAAATATACTTAAGATTTTAATATGTATGCATGTTTATCATCTCTCTCAATCACCTACCCAATGATCATTTATGCATCTATCTTCTAGCTACATAACTATCAAATATTGACCTCTATACCTATCATCTATATCCATTTATTCATATACCCATAATCTCTCCATCTAGCTATGCATCCCTATCTATCTATCTGTCTATCTGTCTATCTGTCTATCTATCTATCTATCTATCTATCTATCTATCTATCTATCTATCAATCCATACATCCACCTATCCGTCCATCCACCCATTCATCATTCACCTATCTACCCACTTATCCACCCATTTATACATCTATCCATCCATCCATCACCCATCCATCCATTCATCCATCCATCATTATCCTAGATAACTTCCTATTGTGATAAACATCATGACCCAAAGAACCAGGGGAGGAAAGGACTTATTTCATCTTTACAACTCTTAGGTCACACTCCATCATTGAAGGAAGTCAGGGCAGGAACTTAAGGTGGGAACCTGGAGGCAGGAACGGAAGCAGAAGTCAGAACTGGAGTAGAACTGGAGGAAGTTGCTTACCATCTCATTTCCAGGCTCATTCTCAACCACCTTCCTTACAAAGGCCAGATCCATCTGCCTGAGGGTGGCATCCCCATGGTGGGCTGGGCCCTAAGACATCAATCATCAATCAAGAAAATGCCTCACAGACTTACTCATAGACTAATCTGACAGAGGCGATTCCTCAATTGAAGTTCCCTCTTCCCAGGTAACTCTAGTTTCTGTCAAGTTGACAAAAGATAACTAGCACAGCCATTTGTCTGTCTAGCTATCTATCTGTCTATCTATCTATCTATCTATCTGTCTGTCTGTCTGTCTGTCTGTTTGTCTATCTATCTATCTATCTATCTATCTATCTATCTATCTATCTATCATCTGTCTATCTATCATCTATCTATCTATCAATCTATCTATCTATCTATCTATCTGTCTGTCTGTCTGTCTGTCTGTCTGTCTATCTATCTATCTATCTATCATCTGTCTATCTATCATCTATCTATCAATCATCTATCTATCTATCTATCAATCTATCTATCTGTCTATCTATCATCTGTCTGTCTGGGCATCCTGGATGATCAAACCACAGCAGAAATACTGCAGACTTGCAGAGTACCAGGAGCCAAAAAACATGGTGGGTGTTATAAGTTCTAGGGTCTCTGCATATCTATTTTCATCTTTTTTTAAAAACTTTATTTATTTATTTATTTATTTATTTATTTATTTATTTATTTATTTATTGTGTGTGTGTGTGTGTGTGTGTGTGTGTGTGTGTGTGTGTGTGTGTGTAAGCAGACAACAGCCATATGTCTCCTTCCAACACTCGGGTCATCAGGCTCGGTGGCAAACGCCTTTCCTGGCTGAGCCGCTTCGCCGGGCCCTGCGTGGTGACTTGTTACACGGCACTCTTATAGTGGCCGCTGACTGGTACAGGAAGAAAAGCAGATGGGCAATAGGCTAACACGGAGAAGCAGAGCCTTGCTTGGCTGTGTGGATTCATTCCTTAGGGATGGGGGATGAATCTCTGCACCCTTGGGATAGAAAGGCCCCCCGCTTTTGAGATCTCCCAGGAGTCCTCACTTCCTGGCAGCACAACTGGGTCCAGTGATGCCTTCGAGTCCCTTTCCTGAGGACCAGATCTCAGTCTGCAGAGGCGAGGCAGGAGCATGTTCACGTTGGCTCTGATGGCCATTCTTCAGTCATCTGTTCCTTCCTCCCTGGGGCCTTTGCCTAGGCTGATCCTCCCCGCCTGGTATGCCCTTCCCAAGGCTCTGTCCTACTCACTTATTAAGTTTCAACCACAGAAAATGCTGGTCACCAACTTCCTACCCAACCCACATCACGTGCACACCATGGGGCCTTCCTACAGGTCACCTCACTTCATCTTCTCAAGAGCCTTGTAGGTAATCTTGCTGTCCCATTTTACAGAGCTGAGGCTCAGAGAGGGTAATTAACTTGCCCTTAGCCACACAGCAGCCGAGTGATGTCAACAGCTTGGTTCATGTCAGGGCCGTTTCTCTGGGGTGAATGTCAGCTCTGCCACTGCCCCGAGATGTCACCTGGAATCAGGGAGGCTGTGCTTTAACAGGAGCTGTAATACGATTGGACCCTGAAGCTCTCACCTTGAGGAAGGCCCTCGTCTAGTAAGAAGTTATAAATATTTCATTTTCCTCTTTTCTACAATCCTGTCAGACCTGAGATGGAGTTATCGATGGCGGCCAGCTGATGGACAGATTGGCATGGCTCTGTATTGATGAGTTTGGAGATTGCTGGCTTCTTCTTTTTTTTTTTCCCTTTTCATTCTCAAGAACAGAAGAAATCGTGACAGCGATTTTTCCTTGTGCTGGGGGGTGGGCAGGGGCAGCCACAGGGGAATAGAAAGCAAGACTGAGGTCAGGGTAGACCACCAGACAATTCCACCAGCCGGACCTTGAACATTGACCCTGAAGCCCAGCCCCTCCCACAGTCTCTTCTGTCCTCAGCGGAAGCCCTGGGACTCTCCTGACCATGCCCCACCAGCCTTCCTGCCTCTGGGCTCAGTCTGCACTCCACACCCAGCGGCCAGGGGAGGCTCTGCAAAGTGTGAGCGGCCTGGGTCACCTCTGGGCTCCAGACCAGCCCCTTGTGGCTGAAGCCTGATGGGTACCTGCCCTGTAACTCTGGGACCCTCCGTCTCCTCCTCAGTCTACACGGACCCACCTCATTCTTCTCGCTGTTTCTCATATTCTGCCAACGTGGTCCCGCCTCTGGGTGTTTTGCACCTGCTGTTTCCTGGGTTAAAATGCCCTTCCTGTTAGCCTGAGGGATGGGCTCAGGCAGTCAAGGTGCTGGCCACCGATTCTGAGGACCTGAATTCGGCCCCTGGAATCCTGTTGCGGAAGGAGAGAAGCAACTCTTGCAAGTTGTCATCTCATTCATTCTCTCTCTCTCTCTCTCTCTCTCTCTCTCTCTCTCTCTCTCTCTCCCTGTGTGTGTGTTTAGGGGTGTCTATGGGTTCCTGTATGTGTGGGCGCACACATGTGCTCTTGAGACCGGAGACGGGAAGTTGATGTCAGACACCCCTCCCCCCCCTCAATCTTTTCTCCACTTTGTTTTGTGACACCAGGTCTATCACTGGGCCTGACACTTGCCCATTAAGCCGGACTAGGGGGCCAGTGAGTCCTCAGGATCCTCCTGTCTCTGTCGCTCCCTGAGCCGAGGCTACAAGCGTACACTGCCACTCCTGGCCTTGTCCATGGGGGATGGGGACTGAACTCAGGCCCCCCCCCCCCAGGAGTGTGGAGCCGACACTCAGCCAACTGAACTGTCTCCCCAGCCTCGTGGCTACTGTTTATTATTTGAACAGCACTTGGACGAAGCCGACACGCGTCCGTTTGTCAGTAGAGTTCTTCTGGAAGCCGTCAGTGCCTGGTCCCTTGGGTATTGCCTGGGGTGCTTTTGCTGGTGCTGAGTAGGGTAAGGGCAGCCATCAGGGCTGGAAAAACTAAGAGTCTACAGGCTGCCTGTTCAAGAGGAGCCCCCCCCCCCCGCGTATGCCTTTAATCCCAGCACTCCGGGGGGGGGGGGGGCAGAGCCAGGCGGATCTCTGTGAGGTCGAGGCCAGCCTGGTCTACAGAGCAAGATCCAGGACAGGCACCAGACCGGGCTTCTCTAGCTACAGAGTGAAGCAATGAATGGGAGAGACTTTGTGGTTGGGAGATCAGCCACTTGTAACCTTTGTGGGTGGTGTGTGTGGTGTGTGTGTGTGTGTGTGTGTGTGTGTGTGTGTGCACGCGCGCGCGCGTGCGTGCACATTGATCCCAATGTTGTCCCTGGATGGGGCTCGACGTCCACCCAGCATCTCTGGAGAGCACAGAACAGGAAATGCAAGTCAGTAGCCTTGAGCCAGAAAGCACAGCTTGTTATCTTATGAACCAGTGTCTGACTTCAGGTACAGCTGGATGCAGGACCTCCTCCTCCGGGCATCAAGGCTGGCCAAAAGGACAGTCTGCCGTTTCCTGGAAGTGGGGCTGTGAGTGATCTGGATGTCAAATGGGAGGGTGGGAGCCCTCCCCTCACTGGGTAGGAGAGGGAGAAATGAGTTCGCCCACGCAGGGAGAATAAAATTGTGATAATCAGAACCGCCACGCAGAGCAAAAGACTTGGTATATGGTTCCGAGGAGCTTGAGATGGGATTTCCTGGATTACCCGGGTGGGCACAGTGACTTCCCAAGGATCCTTGTAAGTGGGTGGTAGGAATGTCAGAGTCAGAGGCCATGTGAGGAGGGGAGCAGAGTCACTGGGAGACAGAGAAGTGACCCTGCAGCTGGCTCTGATGAGGGAGGAAGGGGCCACACACCGAGGGATGCAGGCAGCTTCGAGGAGCCAGAAAAGCAGAGGAGAAAGCAGTTATTGGAGCCCTCGGGAGAGATGCCATTGTGGTGACACAGTGGCTACAGGACCTATGCCAGACTCTGACCTCCACAGCTGGAAGGTGGATATGCATGTGACTTTAAGCCCCGGACTTGCAGTCATCTGTCCCCAGACAGCAGGAGGAGCGTCTCACCACAGAAGTGCCGTGGTGGCCCTGGCTGGATCTTACCACCCTCCCCAACTTTGTATTCCGATGCCTCCATCCAACAGTCTCAGATGGAGCCCCCTCTTCTGTGTTTATGTGAATGCATGCGTATGTGTGTTCTCCGTTCTCCAAATTGTACGAGATCACTACAGTGCCAGGATTGGGGCTGGCTTCCCAAGAGACTTCTCTGGGATTCACAACCAACCCAGATGTGCCCGAGGTCTAAAAAGCAGCCTGGATGCCCAGCCTGCCAGCCAGCGGGTTTCCATCCACACCTCCATCCTCCCTCTAATCCCCTCCCCACTAAGCCATTTGGAACCCACTCCCCTGCCCACGTCCCCATTGATCCTCAACCTGTGTCTCCCTCCGAAGGGCTTTGTGACAGGGTCCCAATAAATTCATCAATTCTATTGTCACCATCTGTGTCTTGGTTCATTGAGGCCAGCAGCAGGGTCCCAGGCCTGGGAAGCCATAATCCCCGCGCCTGCTCTTCTGGGGAAAGCCTTCGGAAGCTCCCTTTCTCACCATGCAATGTGTCTGAACTTCCACCTCGAGGTTGGATCATCTTTGTATTCCCAGGGTGGGAACATCAGGCAGTGTTTCTCTGGGGACAGCCAGACAAACCCTAGTAGGGCAGGCAGGATGTACCCAGTAGGGTAGGACACAGCCTGTAGGGCCTACCTCATCGTTAGACAGGCAAAGCACACGGTTTATTTCATTGCTGCTTATCTGGCCAGCAACATGCTTTAGGTGATGTCTGAATTTAAGCATCTCTCTCTCTCTCTCTCTCTCTCTCTCTCTCTCTCTCTCTCTCTCTCTCTGTGTGTGTGTGTGTGTGTGTGTGTACGTTCATTCGTGTGTGGGTGTATGTATATGTACATGCGATGCAGAGGCCAGAGGTCTACCTGTTTTCTGAGATATGATTTCTCACTGGGACATGGGGCTCACCAATGAGAGTAGGCTGGCCGACCTGGGAGCCCCAGAGGTAGTCCCGCCTCTGTTTCCCCAGCGCTGGGATTACAGGTACATACTATCACACCCTGTTTCCCCCTTCTTTTTTTTTTAATGTGGGTGCTGGGGAAATCGAACTCAGATTATGCTTGTGTGGCAAGCACGCTACTGTCTGAACCATCTCTTTGTTTATTAAATGACAAGTAAAATTAGACACATGCATAGTCATTTCAAGTATGTCTAGGTTATAAATGGCTCAAGAGGGCTAATTTGCAACTTGTTTGATTTCTCAGAGCAATCCTGCCATGTCTATGTGATTATTCTCTCTGTTTTTAGATGGGAAAAGGGAGGCATAGAAAGGTTATGGAACTTGTCCAAGGTCACGCAGCCATTCTGGGTGGAGCCAGGCTTTGAACCCTGGAAAGCTGTGTGTAGCTACTTGGCTGTGTACCTCTCTCTCAGTGGCTCTAAGAGTTATCATTCTTAAGGGCTGTCTTTCACGTCCATTTCCTTCCTACATCTGCCCTGCCTTGTCCCTTCTGGGTGGGTCCTCTATAAACCCTTGTCTGGGACCAGCTGCCTAGAACTAACACGGCACCTTCCACGTGTTAAGAACCACGCTGGCATTCTGTTCTGCCCCAGGCAGGTTGATCTCCACTACGACACCAGGAGGCAGGTGCATAATGGAATCCTCCCAGTTTCAGAGGAGAAATCGAGGCTCAGAGAGCAGAGGCTGTCACTTGCCAAGGTCCTCCGGCTGGGAAGTGGCTGGCTCAGGACTCCATGGCTGGCTTTCTGCTCTGGATCCCAGAGCTGCGGACATGCGCTGTTAGTGTCTTAGGGTGGCTGTCCACAGATGACCACCGGCAGCTAGTGGCTAAGGACAATTAATATTGTCCCGGACGCAGGCTGCAGCCCTCCCGGGAGTCTTCCTGGCTTCCCCTGGCTGCTAGAGGTTTGCTACAACCCGTAAAGAGAGGTCTTTGATCTCACATTGTCACACATCCTCCGTTTTCATGTGACAATCTCTCCACACCCTCTTCCCCCAGCCTTTGTGTCCAAATATTTATTTCCTTTAAATTAATTAAAATTTAGTTAGTTTATGTATGTGCGTGTGAAGGTGCCCTTGTGGAGGGTGGAAGATGGCGATATGGAGCCGGTTCTCTCTTTCACCTTTACGTGGGTTCCAGGGATCGAACTCAGGTCTCCAGGCCTACGCAGCAAGCACCTTTACCCATAGCGCCATCTTGCTGGCCCCAATTTAGTTTTGAGATAGGGTTTTGCCATGGAGCACAGGCTGGCCTCGAACCCAGGATCTTCCTGCTTCAGCCTCCTGAACTGCAGGATGACAGGCCTGTACAGCCACGCCCAACTCTGTTCGGACTCCTGACCCGCCCTGAGGCTGAGTCTGTGGCATTCCAGCACTCCACCCGGCTGCCGGCCCAGCGGTAAGAGTTATTAGGCCCCATTATGAATTGGATTTTAATCTCTTATTAATAGTCCTGCCATTATAGTGTCATAGAAGCAATTAGGACCCCTTCCCTCCTTCTCCCAGCTTGAGACTTTCTGATTTCTCCAGCCGAGATGGGGGCTACAGGCAGGGGTGGGGACAGACACTTCAGGAACTCACCAGTTAGAGTCCAGCATGTCCCTACCCACCCATGCATCCCCTGGGGAGAACTCAGGGGTCTTTTCTAATCGAGTCTCTGAGAGATGCCAAGGGGGTCTCGGGGAAGATGGGACCAGCATCGCAAAGCCCCGCTGATGGATGTTGACAGGTAGCTCTTCTCCCCATGGGCCACCAATGTCCCCAGACTACACCACTGGCATCTCATACCTTCCAGCTCAACTCACTTTCTCCTCTTTGATGTCCTCGGTATGGCAGCCAGGGACTGCTCCCACCCACAGAAACCAAAGGCTGGTAGAAGGGGAAACTGAGGCAGAGAGTCAATTCCATGCCTTCAAACAGGGTCGTCCACACTTGAGAAAGTCACAGACAGAGGCCCCCACATCTCACTGTCCTAGCTCCTCGCTAGGGCTCCCAAGAAAAGATAGTGGGGCTGGAGCCAAATAACCACAGTGACCAGGGGACCTTAGATGGGGGGGGGGGTGGACACTGGGGGAGAAGCAAGACCCTTGGTCATGACCTTGGCAGGGGCATTCCCAGCTCTCTCTCATGCTTCCCTTTCTCTAGGCCTCAGTTTCCGCATATGAAAATAAGCTGTCTTTAAGCACCTTTAGAGGGAGGGGAAGGAGGAGGGTGCTCCTGTCCTCCTGCACCCCAGTTTTCCTTGGAGACTAAGGCAGAACCGTGTTTTTGTCTCCTAGAGAGTGTTAAGGTCCAGATGCCGCTAGGAGACTATCTGGGGCCAGAAGGAAGGCCCCCCTCTACTTGACCCAAATCACAGCCCTCCCTAGATGGGGCAGGGCAGGGGTGAAGGGGGTTAATAACCCCCTCCCCGGACTCCACCTGCAGGGGGCTCTCCTGACAGACAGAATGGGCAGGAGGCTCCATCTGGTCTCTGGGCCTTGCCTTCAGGACTTGAAGTGACTGACAGGTCGCAGTTGGCCTGGCTGGGATCTGCACTGAAGGAGGCATTAGCTGTGGGGTGAGATCTGGGGATGGCGGGGGCCGGGCTGGGGTTACTCTCAGGGAAAAAAAAAATGTTCCTACAAGAGCCAGGAAGTGGATGTTTAGTGTCAAATCGAACGTATTATCAAGGATGCTCATTCATTCATTCATTCATTCATCAAAGACCAGCTGAGGACCTGCTATGTGCTGGGTAGTCTGTGAGGTGCTGGGGACCTAGGGGACAAGAGGCGTAAACATCCCACATTCTGGAGGCTTCATCCTCTCTCCTGCCTCCTCCTTCCTCCCCCTTCCTTCTCCCCCCCTTTTTACCCCCACCCCCACCCCCCACCCATTGGTCATGAGTCCCTCCCTGCTGTCTATAAGATTTCACCATTTCCTTCCAGGCTGCTTGCTGTGGGTCTAACAAGCAAAACACACTGGCTTGATTCTGGGGTTCGTGTACGTTAGCGTGTACCCTGTGTTAAGTCCGTCCATCCTAGTCTGCCTCCTGGACCCCATCTCCTCTGTCCACCTCACCCCAAAGCCGAAGACGGGCCCATCGGCCAAACAGGATTCCAAGGGACTCCTTTAGACCCCTGTCCCCCCCCGTGGAGTCACCCTCCGCTGCTTCTGTATCTTCGCTCCTACAGGCCTCTGGGGGTTACAGGACCTCTGTCCCCCAGCTGGCCGGTGGCTCTAACAACCGCGGAGGGTGGGTGCCTGCGGCCTACCTGGGCTTCTCCAGGCCTACCTCTGCCGATGTGGTGTCCAGGGAGGTAGAGAAGGGGGCCTAACAACCTCAGGCCGGGAGGCAGCTCTCTGTTCCGTAATTGCAGAGGGAGAGTCGGCGATAAAACGATAATGGCGCGTTTTTGACCTGGGGACCGACGCTTGGAGCCGCGGGTAACTCGGAGCTGTGCGATGGAGGGCGAGGGGCGCCGGCCCGGGCTGCAGCTGAGATGGAGCGTTCACAAACAAGACGTAAATTGGATGCAAACATCTAATTAACCTTCTCCCTCAGTTCCCTCCCAGAGGCGGCCTTCCCTGGGCTCCAAGTGCAGTCTTCCCTCAGGGATGGATTTGGGGGAAGAGAGGAGGGGCAGGCAGGGGGGAGGCGGAGGGAAGGCAACCAAGGCCTTTGCCTTTCTTTTCCATTCTCTCTCTCCTCTCTCCTCTTTCCTCTCTCTCTCTCTCTCTCTCTCTCTCTCTCTCTCTCTCCTCCCTCCGTTCTTTCCTTCTCCCTTTCTACTAGCTGTTTTGGGGATGAATGAACAAACTCTGTGATATCCTCACGCCCCGCCCCCCCATTCTCCAGGTCTTGGCTTGAGACTGCACAGTCAGAGGAGATGGACAGTTTGTGGAGTTAGTGTATTTCCTATCCTTTCTGTGGTGATTTCCTCAGTTCCTCCTCAAAGCCTCTTTCTTATGGAAACTCCGGGGCCTTTGAGTTACCTGGGCCCCAGCACTGGGACCTATGCTGGAATTCCTCTGCCTGTACTGCTCTCCGCCCCCCCCCCTCCCCCAGCTCCTGAAGTTGACTCTCTGTACTTCATTTATGCAACAGATATTTAGTGAGGGCCTACTGTGGACCAGCCACTGCTCTAGCAGTGAGGGTGTAGTAATGAACAAACAGATGCCACCCAATCCCCCTAAAACAAACAACGGCACTATCCAAAACTGTTCTCTCTGCTGGACCTTGGACAGGGAGACTGGCAGATGGAAGGTGTCTGAGCGTGTGGATGCTGGCTGGGACCCGAAGCTCTCTTCACAACTGCCCCGTGCCTCTGGAATTGGTTTATTGGTTTGTCGTCTCTTCTTCTTCTTCTTCTTCTTCTTCTTCTTCTTCTTCTTCTTCTTCTTCTTCTTCTTCTTCTTCTTTCTTCTCCTTCTCCTCCTCCTCCTCTTCTTCTTCTTCTTCAATTTTCAAACACTAACATGCAAAGAACTTGAAAAAACAATCCCAAGCTCCCTTTGAACCATAAACACCAACACTTTTCGCTCTACACATGCGCATGCAGATTTTTCTGTGATTTTTCTGAAACCTTTTTTTTTTTTTGTGAGTTGCAAACAGCATCTCCCTACTGACTTCATTCACCCCAGAGGGTCTCACTGTTTCCTACAACACAACACAAAGATACTTCTTTATAAACCCACAGAACAATGGTCAGAGCTAGGAGAGTCTCCGCATAGCACCAAGCTCACCCGCCTTGTCAGGATCTCCAGCAAAGTCCATTCCCAGGGGCTGGGTTTGGACTTTGGAGGTAGAACACTCAACTTGCTGAGCCCACGCCCAGTGCCCTGAGCACTTGCATGTGCGCAGGCACAGACCCCCATGTCCTGTCTGGCAGGGTGCTCTCAGGTGCCAGGTCCCTTCAGACTCCTCTGAGATGGATTGTGTTCTCGGTCTCAGAGTTTCACACTGTTCAAGCCTCCAGACCACCTGCTCAGGAGGATGTCTTTCAGAATGGGTGTATCCGGGACTGGGGCTGTGGCTCAGTGGGTAGAGCGCTCCCCTACCTAGCATGCATGCACGAAGCTCTGGTTTGGTCCCCAACTCTGTATAAACCTAGTGTGGGGATGCATACCTGTAATCTCAGCACTTGGGAAGTGGAGGCAGGAGGATCAGAAGTTCAAAGTCATTCTCAGCTGGTAGCGAGTTCAAGGCCAGCCTGGCCTACTCCAGACCCTGTCTCAAAACAAAAGGGATTGTGTTTGAAGTCACCGTAGTCTAGCTCTGGTGACGCATCTGCAGCTGTCTTGCACAATGGACGCCATGTTCCTCTCTGCGCAGAGTGCCAGGCGGCCTGAGCTGTACATTCTGTTATGGCCAGGATTTAGCTGGTGTCTGCTGGGTTTCCCAATGGGAGCTTTACTGTTTTTTTTTTTCTTCTGTAATTAAGAAGTACCTTTTGGGGGCAATGCTTTGAGGTAATGCAAACATCTAGTGGCCCTCAGACTTGGAGGCACTCATAGCAGTTTGAAGATTCTTGCTAGGGTCAATGGTCATATTTCCTAAAAGCATATTTGCTCATGCCAACCTCCCTTCTGGGTTTATCAGTTGGCTTTTCACTGTAAAGAGGAAAATTACCCCTCTACCCATCCATCCATCCAAACATCCAACCATGCATTCATCTATCCATCCATACACCCGTCCATTTATCCATCCTTCTATCTATCCACTCACCCATCAGGCCAGCTATCCATCCAAGCATCCATCCATCCACCAATCTATCCATCCATCATCCATCCATTTATTCACCAATCCATCCATCTATTATCCATCCATTCATTAATCCATCTATCCATCCATTCATTAACTCATATGTCACCCATCCAACCATCTATTATCCATCCATCCATCCACCCACCCATCCATCCATCTATTATCCATCCATCAATCTTTCCATCCATTCATTAACTCATGTCATCCATCCATCCATCCATCCATCCATCCATCCATCCATCCATCCACTTACTCATAACAGCAGAGGTTCACTCGATGACAGCAGTGTTTGCCTATGGTCACTCCAATGATCATTTTGACTTATATTTGGCCAAAGGAAGCCCTTTCCTGCTGCCTCTGTGTCCTTTGCACACACCCTCCTCGTGTTTTTTTTTTTTTTTTTTTTTTTTAACATTAACTACCTATAATAGCACAGGAGGTACATTTTAGCCTCTCCTGCCATTGTCCTTGTGGCAGTCAGTCCTGTCATCAACCACTTCTTGAAGGGTCCCTTTTTCTTGTAGCTTGAAGTGGTGAGTAGAAGTCACAATCTGGAATCATTGGGTGTCGCCGAATGTAGGTCCTTCTGTGTACCTAGCTGGGGGCCTCCAAGTCTTCAGCTGTGAAATATCACACAACTGTCCCCACTTCCTGGGTTGTCTAAAGAGTGCAGGAACCAGCATCTGCTCTGCCTTCATAACTCAGCCAGACAGGGTGCTACATGTTTGTCATGCACATAACATACACACATACCATGCATGCAAACATAGGCAACATATACACAGTGTTAGACCATGGTCTATGCTCTACAGCAAAACAAACCGGGGTTACCGCAACGTTGGGAAGTTGGTCTAGAACTCCCCCCAATGACCCCCCCCCCATCACACGCACACTGAACATGATGTTGAAACAGAGACCTTAGGGGTTCAAAGGGCGAGCCACGCCAAAGGAAGCAGAAGGAGAGCAGTGCAGAGCACAGCGGTCCTCAAAGCCACTCCCCAGGCTCCAGGAAGCCACATCTCCAAGCAGAGGCATGCCACCACAACTGTCCTTATTGTGGTTTTTACAGGGATCTTCAAGGATCACATAGCTTTCCTGAATCCAAGACTCCCTCAATGCCTGGGCCTATCCAGCATGCCCTTGGTCCCTGTAACGTCCTTAGGAGGTGGCGCTTGCTTCTTATCAGCAGCCTACTTGAGAAGAAGGCTGAAGGAGTAAGTTGACCAGAACTCTGCTGGCAAGTGGGGGATGGGACCACCGTCTGACTCCAATGACAGCCACACCCAGCAAAGAGCCTGTGTGCCCAAGCTTTCCTTCCCATTCCCGCTGTAAGACCAGGCAGGCCTCAGTTTCCCCACCTGCCCAGACAGCTTGTGCTGGTCGGACTCAGGTCAGGTGCTCAGGGTGGAGATAGACAGCGAGCTTCCCCGCGGCTGCCCCTCCCCCCACGGCCCTTCCAACGGGCTGCCCCCCCCCCCCCCCGCGCCTCTTTTCACCCCATCTTCCCCAGGGGCAGTCAGCCAGGAAAAAGAGTCCCTGGGCAGCGATGATGAAGATGGATGTGTGATTGATTCTGCACCCCCCTCCCCCTGCCCTTATGGTAGAAAATTAAAAGACCATTTGTTAAGGGGCGCAAGTCCTCAGGTGCGTCCCCCGGCTGGACAATCTGTCTCTGTGAAAAGGATGCTATTATGAGGGAGGTTGGGTGCAGGCGGAGGGCGGGCCGCAGGGGTGGCTGGGGAGGGGGAGGCCCAGACAATGCGGGGCGGCGGCGGGGGGTGGGGTGGGGGGACACACAGAATAAATATACGAAGGGAGGGAGGGAGCATGCCAGCCGCGGGGCTCCTGGCAGGAGAGGCTGGGCGGGCCGCTCTCAGAGCTGGCGGAGCTCATGTGCTGAACCTCCACAACCAATTCCTTTTTCATGACCCTTGTCCGGGACCAGAAGGGTGTCACCCCGGAGCTCTGCTGCCTCCCATTAAGGACCCTCTTTAAGGAGTCAGCATCTCTTATAGACTTCTGTGCAGATAGGGTTGGGAGGAGGGGTCTGTGCCTGAGTCCCCTTCGCCCTCTTGGGGGTCTTTAAGTGATTAGAAGAAAGAGGCCAGGGCCCCAGCGCCACTCACTCTGGAGGAGGGCATTTGTCATTGAGCTGTTATTGTTTTTTTTTTTTTTTTTAAAGGGTTGCATTGGGCTCTTCCCGCTGTGTGCTGTCCTTTGTGTGTCTGGCTTTTCTAAGCAAGGTGTCCGACCCTGAGCCACACTCTCCATCCTCTTTGCTCCTACTCCCCAGCCCAACCCCATGCCCGCTGGCCTTGCCTCTGGCCCTCCTTCCCAACCTAGAACCCAGCGCAGGATAAGAAGGGGCTAGCCAGGGCTCAGCACCTTTCCTGCTATGCGTTATGTGCTTTTCACCTTCTCCAGTTGTGGTTCAGGAGGGCGGCTGGGTGGCTGGTTCCTGGTGCCTGGCTGAGAGAGCCCAGAGAGCACTCTCCTTGACCTCTTCTGGGAGTCAAGAAACACCAGCCTCATGGGACTGATGGAGAAACCGAGGCTCAGTTGTGTTGAAGAGTTGAAGAGCTCGTTCGATTTGGAGCTAGTTTTCAGGTTGGTGAAGGGAAGCAAGACTATATGTAGAAGGAATGTCCACCCAGTCATGGGATTCTTTCTATTCAATGGCAGTCAGCCTGGGTGGTAGGGATTGATGTCTCCATTTTCCTAGCCTAGAGGATGAAACAAAGATATCTATCTATATCTATGTAGCCCAATCTCTATCTATCTATCTATCTATCTATCTATATCTATGTAACCCAATCTCTATCTATCTATCTATCTATCTATCTATCTATCTATCTATCTATCTATCTATATCTATGTAACCCAATATCTATCTATCTATCTATCTATCTATCTAT